TCGTCTGCCCCTAAAATAGAACACATACCCCGAATACCTAAGTTTGACTTTAGCCAAGCCGGCTGGAGACCTTCCTCTAAAAGAAATTTAGTTAGTACTTGTGTCAACTATAACAGATATTTAAGCAGTAAAACCTTTCTCTTCTTGCCTATAATCTCCTGGGGAAACATTCTCAGACTTTAAAGAAAAAAAATTTTTTTTTTTTGCGTTTAGCCCAAATTAAAGACTTTCCCCAACAAGATAGGTTAATACAATGACCTGATCTTACACAGTCAACACTATCTCAATTTGTTTTTAAGCCACTTGGCACCAACAGAGCGTGTGTTCTGCCAGTTCTGAGCTAATCTCCAGGAAAGCCTTTGTATAATGACTGAAGAAACTGAAACAGATCAGTGCCCAAGATTTTCTAACAGCCTACTTGAGCATATGTTTTCAATAAAGTCAATTTGTTTTAAAATAGCAGTTTTACCGGTTCGCCTTCCTTCATAATTTACGTAAACCATTTTCAAATAAAAAAGGAGTCCATGACTAAGAACACAGGTTCACTTCAACTTCGGGGTCACACATAATTCCAAGGCTTTACACATCACTGAATCTGCAACCCGTTTCCATCGCGTTCGCAGTTTAGCCGCGGGTGTCCGGTGGAAATTACAATGTCAACGACTGCACTGCTTAAAAGGTTTCCTACGGTTTCGACTGGTGCAATAGTGGTAACTTCCCATCCCAAACTGCTTCTTACTGTTATTATTAAAACAGCTGTCAGCTGGGCTTCGGTAACCTCTTTGTACAACCGTTTACTCAACGCTTTGGGATCCTCGAGGATGCGTCACACCATATCCGCCCTCAAAACGAGCTCTCAGAACCTGACGTGCTCCAAGGGTCTACGGCCACCGTTCGAAGGGGCACTTGCAGCAGGCGAAGCGCCCCGGCTGCCCACTGCGGCAGAGCGCGCTTGCAGGGGCTTTTACGACAGAACCGCAGCGCGCCGCTCTCCTTCCCCTTCGGGCTCCCGAGCTGGCAGCTCCCCGGCTCCCCCTTGCTCGTCCTCTCCCAGGACCCCGGTACCTGCGACGCTCCCTCCCGCTGGGGCCGCAGCGGTCTCCCGCGGCCGCGCCCGCACCCCGGCTCCCCGCGGACGGACGGACGGGCGCGCGCGGCGGCCTGGGCGCGCCCCCCACCCCGCGCCGCGCCGCGCCGCGCCCCGCCCCGCCCCGCCGGGTCCGGCCGCCGCACGCCGCCGGCGCCCTCCCGGGCCGCGCACACTCGCACGCACACGCTCCTCCCGGCCCCGCCATGTTCCGGGAGGCGGCGGCAGCCCAACCCCGGCAGCGGCGGCGGGGGGTCGCCCCGCCGGGTCCCCCCGCGCCGCCCTCGCCCCGCTGGCAGCTCGCGCCGCGCCGCGGCTCCTCGCGGCTCCTCGCGGCTCCGGGAGGGGCGGCGGCGGGCGGGGCGGCCCCGCGCCCCGGCCACTAACGGCCTGTCACTGTCAGGCCGGCGGCGCCGCGGGGCGGCGGACCGGGCGGCACGCGGCAGGGAGGGCCTGGCGCGTCCCCTACCTTGCTCCGGGGAGGGGGGACGGGAGCAGCGCGGAACTGAGGGGTCTCCTCCCAGGCGCCGGGGACGGGGCTCGAAACCGCGCCGCGCCCCTCCTTCCTCCTCGCCTGTCGCCACGCCCCCCTCACCCTCACGGACCCGAGGCACGATCGGCGCAGGAGGGTTCACCCCCTGAACGAGTGCCTCGGTGTTGCCGTCGCTGTCGTTGTCTTCGTCGCCGCTGCAACCGCCACGAACGCCGCGGAGGCCGGGCTTGAAAACATCTCCGGTCTCCGTCCGTCTCTCACCACAACCTCCTCGCTCCCAGGACAGCGCCGCCCGGCGATTGGCTGCGACGCGGGCACGTGACTCGGTGGGCACGGGACGGGCGGCGTGAGCGCCCCGCCCCCGGCGCCCGCCCGCCCCTTCCGCCGGCCCCTCCCCGCTGCCCCCGCCGCTCTTTCAGCTCCGCGGAGAAGCTTCCCGAGCCGCGGGGCGGAGGAGGCGGAAGGTACCAAGTAGGAGGCGGCGGGGGTGCAGGCCGGAGCTCCTTCTCCTCGCCCCACCCAGGCGTCGCCGTCTGCCTCCCGGTCGCCGGCCCCTAGCCAGAGCGGGGAATCTAGGGATGCGCAGGAAAGCCGCGCGGGCTCCGCAGACGCTGCGGGGCCACACGGCTCTGCCGTCGCTCTTTGTGGGGACCATGGCAGTAGCTGTGACTGGAAACTTCTGGAAATGGCGGCGGCGAAGAAGAGGCTGAACGCAGGGTATTCACATGTTATTTTTGCAGGGCGGGTGGGCGAGTTTGTGAGGTGGGACCCCGGAGAATATGTGCCGAACGCAGAGGCGAGGCGTGTCCCCCGTAAATTCGCGGCTGCGGACGGCTGGGCCGGGGCGTCCGGAGACGTGGGGCGCGGCGCGCGGCGGCGCGCGGCGGGTCCGCGCGCCACTGCGCTTGCGCCCCGGAGAGGCCCGGACGCGCGTCGGGAACTCGGCTGGGCCGCGGCGCGCCCGCCACACCTGCGCCGGTTAACGTGCACCTGCTGCGGGCACCCCGCGAACCCCACCGTGCCGCTTTCCCAGTCACACCTCCCAGTGACCTCCTTTCAGAGACAGGGGCCTCCACATCCGAGATAGTGTCTCAGAGGGAACTGCTCAAGTATCGGAGAGGCGTGCGTGAGGAGTATTTACGGCCTCGGCCTACCGGCAGCGGGTACTTTTACTTCTGGACGCCTTTTATTTACATCGAGGTTAGTCTCCGATAGTTTGTATATGCCTTTATTTAGCCACCAAAGGTTACATAATCTGATGGAAACCATTTTATTGTGACTTGATTTTTAACGCTTTTTATTTACATCGAAGTTAACCTGCGACAGTTTGTACATGGCTTTATTTAGCCACCAAAGGAGTTACACAAATTGGACGCAAACCACCTCCCTAGTCGTTAATAGCGGTCTCTACAGCACCTGTGACTTAATGGAGTTACAAATTTGTCACTACAGATATTTTTCAGCCCTGACACAAAGTTAAATCCCAACAGATTACGTAAAGCATAAACTTGCATTAAAGGTGACTAATTTTTTTCCTTGTCACGTTAGTCTATACATAGGTAATGCGGCTGCAGCAAATACTCATAACTTGTTATGTGCCGTAGGATTTTCTGGAGCAGTGGCCCCATACAGTTACAGCCAAGTAATTCTGAGCAATCAGTAGTTTGCTCTAGCAACGTTTAGTAGGGGCTACAAAAAAAGTGGTATTAGATTCTTTGTCAGAAGAGATTATGATATATTGTTTGATTCTTGTCATTAAACAGCAGGAAGATTTCCTCCTCAAATAACAGCACAGAGTTAGGAATTGAGGAAATGAGGGAGCAAGTGGTGGTTAACACACATATAATGCCTACCTCTCCCTAGAGGTTTGAGAAATAGGCCAGGATATAGCTGTCATCCCTGAAAACTAGCAAGGAAATTTTAATCAGTGCATTTCATTTTCACTTTGAAACCATCTTGGATTACTGTAAGATTTTACCTGCCAGGTGTTTTTAAAAGCTAACTAGAAACATTAAAACCAGTATTATGTTAAAATTGATAAAGTTTTTAAGAAAAATAGGCAAAAAATTTAAGACTCAAAATCCTGATATGCACTACTGTGAAACAACGTGATGACCTAAGAACTATAGAAAACGTTTTGAGGGACGCCTGGGTGGCTCAGCAGTTGGGCGCCTGCTCAGGTCGTGATCCCAGAATCCGGGATCAGGTTCCATATCAGGCTCTCTCTGAGGAGCCTGCTTTTCCCTCTGCCTGTGTCTCTGCCTCTCTCTCTAACTCTGTGTCTCATGAATAAATAAATAAATCTTAAAAAAAAAGTTTCAATAATGGTATAACAGTATGCCTATAATTGTAATGATCTAAAATTAATTTTCTATTTTTAAAACATTACATAAAAATTGATATTCAGTGCATGTCCATAATACAGGTCTTACTTTTTTCACCCGGTATCTGAATCTCTCCCACTTCTAATTTTTGTTCTAGTAGAAAAAAAAAATTATGTCAAAGTAAGGCATTTTTACAAAAGTCAAGAGGGCTGTAGGATAGAAGAGAGGCATTTTCATTGTTACTTTTCTCTGCCAGTTAAAAAGTTACTGTTCTTGTTTACCTTCTCAGATTAAAAACTATTTTTTAAAGCTATTCTTAAAAATAATTTTTTTAAGCACAATAATTACTACTAGTTACTGGTTAGTCTGCCAGAAGAACAAGGCCAAACAATGACTTCAAGAAATCCTGAAACAATTGGATTTGGATTTATCCCTGCATTAAGGCTATTAATTTTTTTCAACTTGCAGAACTAATGCACCGTAGCTGGTTTCTTGAAAATGTATAATATGCAGGTTTTATCCTTTGTTCTAAGCTGAAATATGCATTCAATGGAAGAGTAGATTTTGTATATTGACTGTTTTTCAAACTCAGATTGTACTTCCAGTCTCTTCACCCAGTTTCTATTCTTGCAGTATACAATAATAATGAAGTGCCTTACTTTTATTAAAATGATAAACAATACTTCTAAAGACAACTACTTTATCCTCCTCACACTTCTGCTTGAGGTGTCACCAGTTGGAAATAGAGTAACAATAATGTGCTGTAAATCTAAAAATGTTTAAAGGGAGTACTAACAAAGTCTATAGAAAGATCATGTTAACTTAAGATTTGGCTCTAGTTAAAGATGGAAAAGCAAAATATATATGAAATTTGACAGTTTTTACTTGACAATAATCTAATGTTATTGATAAAAGTGGCCTGGCAGTTGAAAATGGATGACATTGGAGTGACTGTTAACTAGATTATGAAATAATGTCTTTAGAGTTAGCCATAGATAGCAAAAGACTCTAAAATGGTACTCTGAAGTTTTATCGTGACACTGACAGCAGCAAGTTGCTAGGTATACACCATGAAATGAACAAGTAACATAAAAAGTTTATGTAGACAGGAGATTCCTCTTTATTTCTCCAGTGACATATTTACAGTTGAATATATAAATTAAAGTCCCACTTGCACACCAAAGCCAGGTCCTTTGGGTGGTTCAGTCAAAGAGGTAAGACCTCCAGCTGGCTCACAAGAGAAGCGTCCACTCCTGAAAGAGCAAGTGACAGTAAACTATTAATGATTACCATTTATAAATCTTTACTTAAAAAAATAACTTCCTTCACAACAGCCCAGTTAAGCCACTATTTTTCATTCAAGAATTGCATGCATTATTAATTTATTTATTAAGGGTTTTAATTTATTTATTCATGAGAGAGAGAGAGAGAGGGGGGCAGAGAGACAGAGGTTCAAGAAGCAGGCTCCGCGGGGAGCCCAATGCGGGACTCCATCCCTGGACCAGGATCATGCCCTGAGCCAAAGGCAGAGGCCCAACCACTGAGCCACCCAGGCATCCCATGCATGGATTATTTAATTCAAACATTTCAACCTCTGCAAGATTTTCGGTTACATATGAAAACACCCATATCAAAACTCATCATAAATATGAAAAATATAAAAGTAACTCTAATACTAGTTCCCAGTTACTAAGCAGTGTACAGATATTATTAGTTCATTTAATCTTTACAACTATGCCATGAGACAAGTGATACTGGCCTTATTTTACAGATACAGAAACCAAGGCTTAGGGGATTCACCAGCTGTCCAAGGATCAGAGCTAAGAACTATAATAAAATAACCTAATCCCAGAGGACATCTTTAAAAATCATATTTTAGGGGTGCCTGGGTGGCTCAGTGGGTTAAACATCAGGTCATGATCTCAGAGTTGTGGAATGGAGCCCGGCTCAGTGTGAAGTCTATCTACTTAAGCTTCTTTCCTGCTAAAATTAAGTCTACTTGAGATTCTCTCCTGCTCTCTAAAAATAAGTCTTTTTAAAAAATAATTTTTAATAAACTAGAACATTCTTTTTGTATTTGAATTTTATTGAGATCCACTATCACTGAACACAATGGAATATAAACTTACACATTATATTTGGAAATAAACAAGAATTAAAGGAAATGGGAATTTGAAGATTTCGTAGGGTGTTCCTTAGAGGCAGTGAAAACAAATTATATTGGTATTCATATTTTTTTTCTAAATTTTTTTATTATTATTTATTTATGATAGAGAGAGAGAGAGAGAGAGGCAGAGACACAGGCAGAGGGAGAAGCAGGCTCCATGCACCAGGAGCCTGATGTGGGATTCGATCCCGGGTCTCCAGGATCGCGCCCTGGGCCAAAGGCAGGCGCTAAACCGCTGCGCCACCCAGGGATCCCCCCGGTATTCATATTTTTTAAAGCAATATTAGTAGTAGTAACTTCTCAAAAACAGGTTCCAGACCAGAGTAGCTACCACAGCCACAAAGAAAATAAGAACAAGCCCTTATGCAGGAATCTATAGAGAGGCAGCACAGAGTAGAAGAACCTGTCTTTTGTTCACCCCCACACATACTTTCCCAGGTAATCACTCACCTCTGCCCCTGTCTGACCAGACAGCACCTACTTCTACTTCACCCTTCCTATTCCCGGGCTTTGTTAATTTACCTGTTCCTGCCACAGATTTTTGCTGAATAATTCTTCAGTATACATCTTTTTATTCCTTGCCTTACCTTTACCTAATATTCTGTCGTCAATCTTACAAGTTTCTTTGAAGAGCCCCAGGAGAAAGGAGAGAAAATTAGTGGGAAAAATCAGAGAGGGTGACAGAACATAAAAGACTCCTAACTCTGGGAAACGAAAAGGGGTGGTAGAAGGGGAAGTGGGCGGGGGGATGGGATGGGGTGACTGGGTGATGGGCACTGAGAGGGGCACTTGACGGGATGAGCACTGGATGTTATATATGTTGGCAAATTGAACTCCAATAAAAAAATTACAAAAAAAATGCCCCAGGAAATAATATGTTGTTTAGAGAACAGTACAAGGATACCATAAAATCATTTTAAGATCTTTCAAGCTATTACATTACACAATGCAAGTAACTAGTGTATTGTAACAAAGAGTGCCTCCAAAGTCAGAAAATAGTTAATATATTTGTATTATAGGTTCACTATGAAAACCAGATAAAAAAATGTGAAGTACCTGTCAGAATCTAAAATAATGTAGATTAAATGGCAAAATGATATCTAACTTTAATAAAAAACAGTATTTGGCTTTGTAATTTTTTATGTTAATAACACAGGTATATCTGCTGCTCTTTGCCAATGAAATAATGAAATTATTCTTGAGGACCTTTCTCCTTTTATTAGGTTCCCCCTATGGTTTAAGCTCAGCTACCTTCTTTACCAATACAAAGAATCAATTTAGGGAAGATTATAAAAACCAAAGTTTTGAGAATAAAATGGGAGAATTAATCATACATACTGCCTGAACTCTTAAAGGAATTGTGGATTTTGCATAAGAAAGTAATTTCAAGAGAAATCTGGTCCATTTTCCTAAAGTTGTTCCATACAATTACAGTTCCATGACCTACTTTGGTGGGGGAAAAGGTTTCAGCTGCCTCTTAAATGTCTGCCTGCAAACTCTCTCCCTCCCTCACCCATCACAAAATGCATATTAAAATGCTATAAAGGCTATAAAGTCCACAGATTGTGTTTCATCTACTAATCATATAACTTTCCTTTTATTTTTTCTGCAAATAATGTATCAGACATCAGAGAGGCAGTGATCTAGCCCTTCCATTCACAATATACACTAAGGTTTTCACTTCATAAAAACACAAAATATGACTTGCCTCAAGTGTTTTGCTTAAAATGCCATCTAGTAATTACTTTGTTCCTGCAACTCAAGGTAAATCTGGTTTTTTAGCCATTCCAACACTGTTTGTACATTCATCATTTTAACTCATTTGCATTCTAGAAAACTTGGCCTTTGTATTATTTATGGGTTAGAAGAACTTTTTTTTTTCAATAGAAGAATTTTTTTAAGATTTTATTTATTTATTCATAAGAGACACAGAGAGAGAGAGAGAGAGGGACAGAGACACAGGCAGAGGGAGAAGCAGGCTCCATGCAGGGAGCCCGACTGGGACTCGATCCCAGGTCCCCAGGATCACGCCCTGGGCCAAAGGTGGCCCTAAACCACCAAGCCACCTGGGCTGCCCAATAGAAGAACTTTTTAAAGGAAAGCTACTTTATGAAAGTTAAATGCTTATCTTTTTAATATTGCTGAGATAAACCCACAATTGCCCCCTACTTTTAGTATAAAAAAATGAAAGTGACTTAACAGTCTACAGTTATATATCAGCAACCACCTATATTTTCTATATATATGTACTATGTAGCCTGTTTTTTTTACATCTCATATTATCTGTACCCCATAGAGTTCTGCAAAATTTAAGGTATCTTTGTAATAATAAATATGAAGGCTTCCCACTGGATTTAAAATTAGTTTTAGCAAACCATACTAAAAAACTTCTACCTCTGAATTAATAATTTCAAAGCAGGTTTAGAAGTTATTTTCAGGACTTAAAAAAATGAAAATAATAATCTCCACAAATATTTAATGTCAAAAAGCAGTGTTTTACCATCAGTTTAATATTTCCTTTCTAGCCATCATTTATCAAAAATATAAAAAAGCAGTTCTGAACCATATAGAGACATGAATCCTTTACCGATTTTGGGTAGACCTGGTAGACCTGGTAATGGTACTCAGAAATCAGGTATGCTGAACCAGTTTAATTTCTCTGGTTACTCAAAGACTAACAATGAGCACCTCTTTTACATACGTGACCAGAGTGCTTTATTATAAAAATACTAATAATTAGCCAGCTTTGGTTAATTATATTTTGATTATTTCTATCCTTGCAGTTTCATTATACTATATATCCAAAAAAGTAACTTGAGGAAGGAAGGAAAAATTTTGTTTTCTGATGCTAGGAAAACATTCTAGAACTACCATGTCCAAATACAGTCTCTAACAAACACCACTGGTAGATGATCTGTAATTACTGAAAATTAAGTATATTTATCTCTGCTTTTAATTTAATTTTTTTTAAAGATTTTTATTTTATTCATGAGAGACACAGAGAGAGATAGAGACATAGGCAAAGGAAGGAGACTCAGGCTCCATGCAGGAGCCCAATGTAGGACTCAATCCCGGAACCACAGGATCACATCCTGAGCCAAAAGCAGACATTCGACCACTGAGCCACCCAGCTGTCCTTCTGCTTTTTATTTTAAAAGATGTATTGATTTTACAGAGAAAGAGAGAGCGAGAGCATGTAGGTGGGAGGAGGGGACAAGAGAGAATCCTCAAGCAGATTCCCCACAGAGCCCAGAGCCTGATGTGTAGGGCTCCATCCCAGGGCCCTGAGCTGAAATCAACTGACTGAGTCCAGATGCCCCATCTCTGCTTGTTTTTTAAAAAGATTTTATTTAGGGATCCCTGGGTGGCACAGCGGTTTAGCGCCTGCCTTTGGCTCAGGGCGCAATCCTGGAGACCCGGGATCGAATCCCACGTCGGGCTCCCGGTGCATGGAGCCTGCATCTCCCTCTGCCTGTGTCTCTGCCTCTCTCCCTCTCTCTCTCTCTGTGTGTGACTATCATAAATAAATAAAAAATTAAAAAAAAAGATTTTATTTATTTGAGAGAACACAAGTGGGGGGGGGGAGCGGCAGAGGGACAGGGAGAAGCAGACTCCCTACGGAGCAGGGAGCCAGATGCAGGACTTGATCCCAGGATCATGACCTGAGCCAAAGGCAGGTACACCCCATCTCTTTTTAAGATAAGAGTAAAATATGTTCAGAAACCAATAATTCTAAAGTTTTTGGCTCAAATCTAGAACACTCAAAAAACTCCCAATGAAGAACTATTTACAATTATTGATACGCATTTTTAATATCAATAATAGGGATGTTGCTTAACTGTGATACTGTTTATTAACGCTAATATACAATGATGTTATAGTATCCTATGTTAATTAAGAATACCAACAAATCTCACCCCCAAAAATCTCATCCAGCCTTAAGGCCTTAAATACCATCTGTAATAAATGATGAATCCCCAGTTCATATTTTCAGTCCTAGTCTATTTCCTAAATTTCAGGTTCAAATTTCATCCATTCTACCATGGATGTCTAGGAGGCATCTCAAATTTAACCAGTCCCAAACTAAGTGACTCTTCTTCCCCAAATTTGCTCTACCCCAAATCTCTTTCTTAGTTAAAGGAACCACTGAGGTGCTCAGACCAAAAAACTAGAAATCACTCATAATTCCTCTGCCTCACAACATGCACTAAATTTTAAACTACTCCCCACACAGTAACTAGCAGAATAATTTTAACAAGATCACACATCATTTCCTGCTGAAAACACTCCTACAACAGCTTTTATTATATTTAGCATTCAACTCAAATTATGTATCAGCCTCTATCTACCTCTTGACAGAGTACACAGAACTGCTACTTATTACAAAGAGCAGGAAAATATATTTTAAACATGAATAAAGAGCATATCATAATTCATTTAATACATTAAAATACTATGTAGCCACTAAAACCTACAAATATATCCAGAGAAGGAAAATTATGGCATAGCAGGAAAACATACAAAGGGCTTACAACTGTATAAAACCATGCAAAAACAGTTGCTAGTATTAGAAAAAATTCTGAGCAATATAAGCACTGAGATGTGGAATACGGGTTTGTTTAGCAGCAAAACTTCAGGTTCATAATTGAAAGAAAAGTAATTAGTGTAACACACCAGCAGAATGGGAACAACCTGGAGGAACGGTGTTGGCCTTAAAAACAAACTAGACATTCTAACTGACCATAAGTGCAATTATTGGTATAATGTACCTGAAGTGAGAGTTAATATAACAAGGCATAATGTCTAGAACAAAGAAGCTCAGTTCATATCTCAAATACTGTGATTAGTTTAAGTATCACATTAAGAAAGTCATTAGCCAACCAGAAAAGGTACAGAAGAGGGAAACCAAAACTATGTCATATAAGGAAAAAATGAAACAACAATGGACATCATATGAGAAGATTTAGGGAAAAGAAGATACCTATTTTAAGTAATTGAAGAGCTATCATTTAGAAGTACAAAAGTTATTTTGTGTTGGTTCAAAGGGCAGAATTGGACATGTAGGAAATTAGAGGGAGACAAACTTTGGGTCAATCTTCTGACAGTATGAACCTTTAAATGATGGAATAGATTTCTATTTGTAGTAAATTTCCCTTCTCTATAAATATTCAAGTAGCTACCAGATGGTTTTTGATAGGATTTTAGAGGAAAAAAAAAAATAGTGCTTTAGATGACAGGTTGGTTTCAATACTATCTAAAGCTCCTGACAACTCCTAAGAACTTAAGGGATTTTTTTACCTTTTTTCTTTTCTTTTTTTTTTTTTTAAACGAGGGTGAGAGAGAATCCTGAGCAGGCTCCACACTGAGGTGGATGGTTCGATCCCACAACCCTGAGATCATGACCTGAGCTGAAATCAAGAGTTGATACTTAACTTGACTAAGCCACTCAGGCACCCCCCAGGGGATAAAATTTCTTAAGTTTACATTATGTTAAACCATTAAAATTTATTGTATAGAAATAAAAGCATACCTTGGCCCAGGTTTTGGAATTTTGCCAGCTTTGAGCTCATCAATAATTTCTTCAATATCCTTAGGTGTCAGATCCTCCTAGAAAAAAAGTTAATTCTATTAAAATTACTTCCTACTACTTGAAATCTATGTAAATCCCTAATACTAGTTAGTTTATTGTCTTTCTCAGCTTCCAAGTTAGTCACCAAGGTAGCGGCAATTGATTAACTCCTAAATATAGTATATACTGCTCTGGAAATACACCCTGTTTCCAAATTCTCAATTTTTGAATGGAAAGGTAAAAAAAATTATTTTTGACATGTATCTTAATGATCCTGATCCTCCAGTCCCCATTTCAGTGAGAGCAACTCTATACATTATGTACCTGTGTAAAATTTTTACCTCAAGAAAAGGTACTGATATTTAAAATTAATACATTTAAAACACATAAATATCCATGCCCATGTGCCTAGCTACACCCTAGGTTTAATCAAGACATAACAGAATGGGTAAGATTAAAAGAAAAATGCCTAAACCATATTCCTACTCCCTCTCCAAAACTGTTAAGTACTTAAGAAAATGTTTTATAGGACTCTGATACTATTCTAGGGAAATCATGATTCAGCACTGCATCTCCAGTGCTTCAGCAAATAGAAGTTCTTTAATACTTGTTTAGTGACTAGACATTTATTAAAACCCTGATCTCAAAGAGCTTAGGGTCCAAATATTCAGAACCTCATAGCTAAAAGGAATCTTTAAGTCATCTAATGATTTTATTTCACCCCAACTATTATGAAAATTTAAAAACTATACATGAATACCCATATTCCTACCACCTGTATTCGACAATTTTTAATTTGCCATCTTTGCATTATATACACATAAGCACCCCTCAACTTTTGGTTGCACCATTTTGAAAGCAAGTTACAGACACCATGACACTTCACTCCTGATACTTCAGCAGACAACAAATAAGAACATTTCTTAAATAACACAATGCCACCACACCTAATTAACTAAAAATAATTCCTTAATCAAATGTCAAGTTCATATTAAAAACCTACCCAACTGTTCTCAAAATGTATTTCATAACTGTTTTTTTATTAAGCAGGATCCAGTCAAAGTTTATGTGACTATTTCATCTACCTGTCAATTGAGATACATAATAAATATTCACTGCCCTGGGGGTGCCTGGCTGGCTCAGACAATAGTAGCCCCATGTGGAGCTTACTTTAGAAAAAAAAAAACAAAAACTGGCTTGCCAAAGACCATACCACTGCTAACCAGAAGAATCTTTATCTCTTGGATAAATCCACAGGCTATTATATTTAAGTCTTGACTGTCTAATTCCTGCTTAAATCAAGATCCTCTTTATTATAAGTAAACTGCAGAAATGTGGGAGAAGGCAAAATTGTTGCCATATTTTTAAAGGACTTTTTTTAAAGTAGGGGGGATAGAGAAGAAATCTGAATCTCTGATCATTAAATGAAGAAAATCACAATACGGAATGAGACCACCCTAGAAATCTAAATGGCCAAAGAAATCAAATTTCATCTTCATTTAAAAAAAAAAAATGTCCATTTCAGGCATTATGGCAGACCAGCTATCCTGACTGAACCCTCCTACTCTAACAACTAAAAATGTTGGATAAAATTTAAAAAGTAAAAAAATTTAAATTTTATCAACATGCTGACAAGAAATACCCAGAGGCCAAAAACTCAAAACCCAGGTAGACAAGTGGAACACCACGCAAACTTGGCTTCAGAGTTTCACAGCCCAGAAGGTAAAGGGACAAAGCCCCAGGCCACAAGAGACATACCAACCACACAAAGTTAAGACACTAAAAAGCTATTCCTTCAAGGGTAATCTAGAAATTAAACTGTCCCTCAAAAAGAACTGCTAGTCTAGAACCTTACACATTGGGGGAACAGGAGAGGGTATAAAGAGAGGAGTTTTCTTTTGGAACAGTAGTATTTCCAGGAGCAAGAGAGAAGAAAGCAAATACCTTCTTGATGAATCCACATTCAGCACAGGACTCAATTTCCACTAATTTCTAAAAAGTATGAACTAACAAATATGTATGAAAACTTATATATTAGTGTAGCAAGAAATCATTTTTTTTGAAATCTTTTTATTAAAAAGATAACTTGAAAATTCCACACACTTGGGAGACCAATACTTCTAAAAAATAGGGCAAAAGAGAAATCAAAATGCATATTTTAAAATATTTTAAAATGATAAAAATATTAATCCAAACTTGTGAGATCCAGCTAGAGCAGTACTTAAAGAGTGGAATGATATCATCTCTAAAATTTTTAAAATAAGGAACATAATTATATATTAGTATGGCTGGATACATACACTCAAACAGTTTTATTTATTTATTTTTTTTAATTTTTTATTTATTTATGATAGTCACCGAGAGAGAGAGAGGCAGAGACACAGGCAGAGGGAGAAGCAGGCTCCATGCACCGGGAGCCCGATGTGGGATTCGATCCCTGGTCTCCAGGATCGCGCCCTGGGCCAAAGGCAGGCGCCAAACCGCTGCGCCACCCAGGGATCCCTCAAACAGTTTTAAAACATGTACAGGAAGAATACACTAAATTTATGATAGAGTTTATCTCTGAGAATGAAAGGAAAGGAAAAGGATTTTCGGGCATACTGGTGGTTTACCTGCACCTGTAGCTTATTTCTACAAATGATGATGATGATAATAATATTTGGGGCACCTGGGTAGCTCAGTGACTAAGCATCTCTCTTTGGCTCAGGGCGTGACCCCAGGGTCCCGGGATCGAGTCCTACATCAGGCTCCCTGTGCTTCTCCCTCTGCCTGTGTCTCTGCCTCTCTCAAGAATAAATAAACAAAATCTTAAAAAAAAAAAAAAAAACAACTAATAACAGTAAGTTTGGTAAAATCTCTGTTAAGTCATGGTGGGTATTTTCTGTATTTCTATGTAAATTATTTTTCATAATTTAAAAGCTTTTAAATTGTCATTATCTCATAGAGTTAAACGCAAAAATGTTTAAAGATAATTTTTTAAAAACCTTCTGTGGACAACAATGGGAAGCTAAAATTGAAGGATTTTTATGCAAAGCTTTTCAATTTGTTTTTTAATAAAACTCTGGAAAACAGGAAAAAACCCTTCTGGATATTTATCCCAACAGTTTCTTCTATTTTTTTAAGATTTTATTTACCCATTCGTAAGAGACAGAGAGGGAGAGAGAAAGAGGGAGGGAGGCAGAGATACAGGCAGAGGGAGAAGCAGGCTCCATGCAGGGAGCCTGATGTGGGACTTGATCCCGGGTCACCAGGATCACACCCTGGGCTGCAGGCGGTGCTAAACCGCTGCACCACTGGGGCTGTCCCCCAACAGTTTCTTCTAACTGAATAATTCAGATCGCAACATCTACAGGACAGGAAATCAAACATTTAAAATACTTAAATATGACATCATACTTTATGTTAAATGGAATACTCACATAGTAGTTGTCATTTATTTGAACCATTGGTGCATTTACACAGGCCCCTAAACATTCCACCTCTATAAGAGTGAAAAGTTTATCAGGTGTAGTCTCCCCAACCTTTATTCCTAAAAATAAAAATGATCACTATAAGGACCAGTTTATATTTTAATCACAGCATGGCTTAAGAAAACAACAAATTACAGAGGTATACAAAAAGCAAAAACATTAAGTTTCTTAAAACAACTCTGTATTCAAGGATTTAGGTGGACTTTTCCTTTAAAAACAATCAAGTTTCAGGGGACTCATCTCCCAGTGTTTGCTGTTATACAGCAGTGTATCAGAATATACTATTTTCATTTTGATTGTGATAGTTAACCTACTAAAATCAGTCACACTGTCAGACTGACAAAGATTCAGAAAACTGCTAATGTCAAAGATCATTAAGACTACAAGGAAAACAGGTACTCTCATATCTTTAGGGAAGGTATTTTGGCAAAATACAATAAAATCTGACCCAACAATTCTACTTACAAACCACCTTGGTATACAACAAGACAAGTATGCAAAGATATGTATACATGAAACTATTTGCAGAATAACAATAGAAAAACAAGGCAGACATACATATGGTACAGCCAAAATAAAGCACAAAAAGCAAAAGACATATTTGTGTTTTAAATAATGAAAATAAAACAACATAAAATCTAAAACTAATGATACCCAACTATTATCAGAACTTGCGATGGTGGGATTTTGATCAGACTTCAGCTTTGTTTTATATACTTCAGTACAGCCCTACTGTTTTTACAACATGCAAATACTTACTTTACATTCAGTAACAACAAGATTAAAATATACTTCTTTTTACTTCATTTGACATGTAGAGTTATAAATACAGCAATGGCAGTTTTGTATGGAAAAATGCCTTTTTTAATTTTGTAAATGCCACTATAGTATATTTCAGATTTCCCTTTCTGAAGCATTCTTACTGGTCTCATATTTTATTTGTTCCAAGACTCATTTGGAAGAATACAACGACAGTACAGTCACTTTTTTATGTACCACATGCTATTATTACACAATGAGTGAAACTTCATTTCTAAACAATGAAAACTTTAAAATCCCCAGAAGCTTTTCAAACACTTAATGATCACAGGGGGAAAAAAGTGAAAATTCAGCTTTGAGGCTTAGAACTAAGGAAAATTACAAAATAAGAACAAATAAAGATGGGCAACCACAGTAAGATAAATTTACTGGTGAAGTACAGATCAGATCCAGTAAGATGGGGCAAACGTTGGAAAACTCAGGTAGAAATGGGTCAAATACAGAGAGACAATCCTTTTTTCCATAAAAGTTATAAATACAATGTGTCCCATACCAAGCTTTTTCTGAATGGCCTCCAGTATGCTGTCAGAGTTTCGAAGCATGCAAGGAGTAGTAGTGCAGACTTGAATGTGATATTTTCCAACTGGCTTTCGATTATACATTGTATAAAAAGTTGCTACTTCATATACTCTCATTGGAGGTACTTGTAAAACTTCTGCAACCTAAAATATTAGAAAATTTTAAAAATACAACATTTATTAATTGAGATTTAGGTATGTTGTAAGGAGCATAATTTCAATGTTGCTTTAATTTGGTAAAAGTGTAAAAGTTCTTCAAAAGCAGAAAATATACTTGTATTTGCGAGGTTTAAGTCCCTCAGTTGTTAAGTCCCTCAGTTGTTGCAGACTCTACACTTAACACAAAGCCCAGAAGCTAGTGGTTATAGCACCTCCCCCATTTCACCCCATCTCTGCAAAAAGATATTTTCTCTAAATCTTTAAGTCCTTCAACTATTAAGAATTTCTACTTGGATCATTTCAATTCTTGTATTTTACAATTTAAAATTTCTAAATGGCAAAAATTTGGTGGCCAAACCCTAATAAATTAAATAAATGTATTTTTCAAATTTTTACCAAGTTTTTAAAAAACCTTGATTTTACTGGTGATGTACAGTGCATGCAAATGGAATGGCAATACAAAAAAGGGGTGAGAATCAAAGTTCACCTATTAGCCTGTATTGATTTACATATCTACACACTTACATATACACAAACCACACACACATACACATTTCTAACTCTCCAGAACAATTCAAAACACTACCTCTATTTCTAATCCCAACACTTTTCACAGAAATCTTATGGACTAATACTTCCCAACCCTTCACATCAAGGTATTTATAGTAAATATTTTTGACTGAGGTTCAGAACCAAGGGAATCATTACTGAACATCTCTCAGAGTCAAGAGAAGTCTGTTAAGAAAAACAAGGTTGTTTTAGCTGTCTGCTAGGGACAGTACACATTTAGTCTATCATGACTAGCATCCTGGCTACAACTTTCCAGGTGATCTAACAATCTATCAGGTCATAAGATCTGATATCTGGCATTTTTTAAAATTATGCATATATCCATGTTTTGACATGAAAGAGGAGTTTGTGAAATGGCATTTCAGTTGACAAATATGTTCAGCTTTTTCATATTAGAGATTCTAAAGGATATGTATTCTCAAAACACATCTAATCATGGTTCACTTGTGAAAGATAAGTAGCTCTGCTAAATTTAATTTGGGGATACTAAACCAGGCATGTACCTCTGAATCTGGGAGCTCTCTCAAAACACACATGCTGAAACCCTACCACTGATGCCTAACTTGAAAAAGCTCTCCTGGGGATGCTTCTGTGTATCTCTCTACAAACCCTACCACTGATGCCTAACTTGAAAAAGCTCTCCTGGGGATGCTTCTGTGTATCTCTCTACACCTTAGTGATGGTTAAGGAACTACTGTGTGAGCTTCTGGATATTGTGGTTGGAAGGTTGGGTTTTTCTTGGGAGAGGGGCAGGCCAAAGAAACAGTAACACACTAAAAGTCTCAAATATAAAAATGGAATCATGATTCTATTCTCTGTATACTATCTCCTGCCTCTCACATATTACACATTCAATTCTAAATAGAGCAGGACAATATTTGTGAAATGTTTTCGCATTGATTCTCATTTATTTATTTCATTCTGCTAAGCTTGCCACTGAGCAAGACTTCCAACACATCTGCCATTATTAAAGACATGAATTTTGGAGACACCTGGTTTGGTCATTCAATAAAACATGCAACTTTTGTTCTCAGGGTTTTAAGCTTGGGCCTCATGTTGGGTGTAGAGATTACTTAAAAAAAAGAATCTTTAAAAATGTCAATTTTTGCAAAAAAAAAAAAAAAAAAAAGGCATCTGTGAATAGAAACATACCTAAATCGTTATTTAGAAAGTTGGCTATTGGGATCCCTGGGTGGCGCAGCGGTTTGGCGCCTGCCTTTGGCCCAGGGCGCGATCCTGGAGACCCGGGATCGAATCCCACATCGGGCTCCCGGTGCATGGAGCCTGCTTCTCCCTCTGCCTGTGTCTCTGCCTCTCTCTCTCTCTCTCTGTGTGACTATCATAAATAAATAAAAATTAAAAAAAAAAAAGAACTTTAGAAAGTTGGCTATTATAATATAAAAAACATGGTTAGTTGTATTTAGAAAAGCGATTTAGAAAACACCCAAAGAGCTCCGTGATTTATTGGGAAAAAAAACACCTGACTATATTTTACTAAGTACAGTCCCAACCAAACTTGTTTTGCAACATTTTTCATAGACAATAATAGTAATGATGATAAAGGTCCTAAACCATGTTAGAATACTATACAAAGCAAATTAAGAGATATGAACAAAATCTAAAATCTGACTATGGCATTCCGTTAGATCAACTGAAGACATTCCTATTCTCTAAGAAAAATCATAATGGTCTAGTCTAATAGACCAAATAAAATTTAGAAAGTGAAAGAGAAATGAAGTATAGCAGAATCTCTGCAACAGTCAGTCAAGTAGAAATTGGAATAGGAAATGGTTTGGTCCCAACTCTGTCACTTAGGAATCATAATTTGAAGAGATCTACCCTCGTTCAAAATCTTTACTGCACGTGAGGAAGTAAGTCCACAGGAAAATCAGATCTCTTAGCTCAGAGTCAGATGTATTTTCCATTATATCACACTGGATTATTATTTGTGCAATTCTCATTAAGAATCATATGGTTTTGGGACACCTGGGTGGCTCAGCAGTTGAGCGTCTGCCTTCAGCTCAGGCCGTAATTCCAGAGTGTCAGGATCAAGTCCCACATCAGGCTCCCTGCAGGGAGCCTGCTTCTCCCTTTGCCTGTGTCTCTGCCTCTCTCTCTCTCTCTCCATGTCTCTCATGAATAAATAAAAAATTCTTTAAAAATAATGATATGGTTTTGTATGGCATTTAATAAACTATAACATAAAACCACAAAAATATATTAATACGTGAATAAATGTGAAATGTGGATTACTGTTGAAACCACTATTAGAAAAAAAATCCAAAATATATATGAATAGATTAACTTCCTTTCAATGGGTCACCCCTACCATTTCTGTAGGTTGCTGATTATCAAGTGTAGGGAGCCATTATCAAGTGTTATAAATACTATGTTATAAATACTATGTATTATATAAATTTTTATTAAAACCTGTTGTCAAAGATGCAAAATAAAAAGATTCGTATTAGCTGTGAACAGTTTCTTTTCTCTATCATTTTAGTATTTTTTTTCATTTTAGTATTTAATAGCACATTAATTTTCAGAATATCTTGACAGCAAATTATACACATGTAGAATCTTTTATCTTTATTATGGCCATTTCTCTCAAAAAGGGAAAAAACAGAAAACTACTTTCCCTATAATGCCTTTCCTATTTTCTACAAGGATAAAAAGCTCTACCTTTATAGTTCTCCACATTAAGAGAACCAACAAAAACACAAATTTGAGGAAACATAAATGATTAAAGGGTTCAAACTCCTAGATTCTGACATTAATAACTCTCAGAGGAATTTCTACACAAGGAAGAAATTCATATACAGGTTCTTCTCTTTTCAAACTAAGGCAAAAATGAATTTGGTACCTTGTTCATAGCAGAGATGGGCAGCCATCCATTCTGTCTTTGGGCTAAATCCAGGACTGGAAGCACAGCTGCTGCTTTATGTCCTTCTGGATAGTTTTTTATAATTGCCTCTATCCTCTGTATCAAAGAAAAAGCACATGTTTTGATACATCTGGAAGATATTAAATATTTCATAAATTAATCATAATGTTAATTTAGTCATACCTTATAGTTTTCTGGTGTGAAATCAAATGGAGTATCTGGGTTATTCTCAGGAGTATCTCTGTGCTATATAAAGGGAAAAAATGTTTTCCAAAATTATCAAAGTTCCCTCAAAAGTGTGAATAACTTTGTATATTACTATACTACTGATCACTTTATCTCTTCACTTTAATTCTGACATTAATCTATCCTTGCAAGAAAAAGAATGGCTAGTTATTAAATACATTATTTGATGACCATGATTAACAAAGTAATGTTAACAGAATTCAAAATTTCAGAAAAGTTTTAGAAATCATTCTTTAATGATTAAGAGAACTAGCTTTAGGACCAAAAATTTTAAAAAGTGTTATCCACCTTGATTAGAGAATAGGATATTCTAATATAATTACCCAAACAAAACAAAAAACAAACTAAAACCAATCACTGGAAGACTTATAAAATTAAGGCACAAAATTGAGTGTGAACATAACATACATTGTTCCAAGAGTGTGTAACAGATTATCAAAAGGACCCACTACATTAGGAAGGTACAAAAGCACCAAGTCTTCCCCATAACAGAGACTAGCCAATGGCAAGAAACTTTGTATCTTCTCCACAAAAAGAGCAGGCTCTCTTCAAAAACTGACAAGAAATGGTAGGTGAACAGGAAATCAAATGAGTCACACTGAGATTAACACTTACATCAATTAATGTTTAGTATGTATGGTGAACACAAAACTGAATCCCTTAATATGTTAACTCTCAAAAAGGTCTGCTTCTTCAAGGATATTTTTATTTTTTTTTTAAGGATATTTTTAAAAGAGGAAAAGAAAATGGAAACTTTGGACAATGATCTCAAATACGTGGCAAATACTTTTAGACAAACATAAAATATAAAGCAGGAATCTACTTATGGTATGGCTAACTCATTTATTAAGATTCAGCCTGATATAACTCTAAATCATCCTATAAATCCACTTAAATTGCCTTTAAACAACATAAGATTAATCCCTGAACCTGCACCTAATCACAGAAAGGAGATACATATATATCCTATAAATCCACTTAAATTGCCTTTAAACAACATAAGATTAATCCCTGAACCTGCACCTAATCACAGAAAGGAGATACATTATCTTGTCTCTGAATTATACAGCTAAACTGGAATGGGAGTTCATGGACTTCTACCTGCAGTTAAACCCTGGAAACCAAAAATATAATGGCAACTATTCATGTATTTACTATATTACTAAAATCCATGAGTTTCAAATTAGTTCTACTCTGGGATTCCCCAAGTTGCAGCCACACAATCTTTAGTCAGCCAATATGACTGATTTTTAAGAACCCAAAGTGAGACTAGAAACCATTTTAGGGCTCTCAGCAATTTCACCAAAAAATAATCTAAATTCAGAGCTACCCTGATGTCAATTTAAATTTAAGAGGTTCAACTGGAATCATGAATCTTTTGAAATGTAATGATTCCATTAGCTATATTTAAATTACAATGGCCAGCTCTACCAAAGACACTGATGTTTAAGATATCTTGGATTGTTAAAATAGTTTCACCCAAATTTCCAAGTCTTTCTATTCTGAAGAAATTGGAGTAATTACTTACCACAAATAAGGCTCCTCCAGCTCCATTCTGTACAGCTGTCTTATGTAAGTTCCTTATATATCTCCCCTAAAATTTTAAGAAAGTTTAATAAATCATGTCTTAAGAAATTTTTTAAGATCCGTAATTGAAAACAATAAAATCAACTTATATAAGTAAAAGACCATAGGAGATATGGTTTGATACACCCTGCCCATCTCTATTTCAGGAGAAGTATAAGGAAATGGTGTAAGGTTATTAACTTGCCTAAGATCACACAAGAGTTTGTGGAAGAACCAGATCCACAATCTGTATCTCCTAAGTTGTGTGTCCTTCTACTACATTCCTATAGGCATGCATTAGGAGAGCTGATATTCCATTATCTTATGACCTTTCACTTTTTTCTGAATCAAGTTGGATACCAGCTTTCATTTAATGTGGGCTTTCATAGACATGTTTTCATTCTGTACAAATGAGTCATATACTCTGCACAAATGAGTCAAGTGTATCCCCCTTTTCTTTATTGAATTAGTTTAGAAATTCCAGCCATAAAGTTTCAGAAAGCTGCTTATGACGCTATACAGTGACCAAAGTCAATTGTTTCAGAAGGAATTCATTTGATTACTTTGTTGCATTTCATTTCTCTTTGCCCTGTTGCTCCCAACACTCTTACCCTCCCTGCCACTGCCAAAAGCAATTCGGCCACTATTCAGGAATCCTCTCATTTCTGAGTTTTACTAATCATATAACAGTAGAACACAAGATTAAACCAAGCATGGAACTAGCAAGTAAAAGCAGTGATATAACACAATTATGTATTTAATTTTTCCCTAGGTCCAAATATTTCAGTTGAAGAAATAAGTTTACATAAACATTTGTTTAATTAACAAGAAAAGATCCAAGTACAGAATGTGGGACATACAGAATGGCTAAAACTAACAAGTCAGAAGACAACAGATGTTGGTGAGGATGCCGAGAAAGGGGAATCCTCTTACGCGGTTCGTGGGACTGCAAGCTGGTGCAGCCATTCTGGAAAACAGTATGGAGGTTCCTCAAAAAGTTGAAAATAGAGCTACACTACGACCCAGCAATTGCTCTACTAGCTATTTACCCCAAAGATATGAATATTGTGATCCAAAGGGGCACCCGCACCTCAATGTTTATAGCAGGAATGTCCACAATAGCCAAACTGTGGAAAGAGCCCAGATGTCCACTGACAGACGACTAAAGACGTGGTATACAATGAAATACAACTACTCAGCCATCAAAAAAAAAAAAAAAAAAAAAAAAAACTTGCCATTTTCAATGATGTGGATGGAACTACTAGAGGATATTATGCTAAGCAAAGTAAGTCAATCAGAGAAAGATAATTATGTGATCTCACTCATATGTGGAATTTAAGAAACAAAACAGAAGATTGTAGGGGAAGGGAGGGAAAAATAAAATGAAATCAGATAGAGAGACAAACCATAAGAGACTCTTAATCATAGGAAACAAACGGTCACTAGAGGAGGGGGTGAGGAGATGGAGTAACTGGGTGACAGATGGGAGGGCACCTGATGTAGCGAGCACTGGGTCTTATATTAAGACTGATGTATCACTGAACTCTACCTCTGAAACTAATAATACATTATATGTTAATTGAATTCAAATTTTAAAAAATTTAAAAATAAGAATGCTGGACATGGCTATAAAATACGGTAATATCTGTTTCAGGATAATAGGACAAGGAGGGAGAATTTGAACAGCTAGTGGTAAACGGGGCTTTAACTCATTTTTGTTTTCTTTCTTGGGCAGCAAAAGGAACACAGTGTTTATCCTTTCTGTTTTGCATCTTAAACACATAAACATTTAAAAGAAAAAAACAAAACACACCAAGGAGATTGTTTAGGTTCTTGTACTTTTATTCGGTTCTCCCAAACTGGGCAGCCCCGGTGGCTCAGCAGTTTAGCGCCGCCTTCAGTCCAGGGTGTGATCCTGGAGACCCAGGATTGAGTCCCACGTCAGGCTCCCTGCATGGATCTTGCTTCTCTCTGCCTCAATCTGTGTGTCTCTCATGAATAAATAAATAAAATCTTAAAAAACACCCCCCCACACAAAAATTCTCCCAAAATGCTTCAGGGTCAATCTAAGAATTAAATACAAGGCTGTGCTTATATTCCTGATTTGCCTGTCCAGAACCAAGACTGAGATAAACATAAAACTAAGGGCATAGTTCCCAAATAATACTGTTAAAAACAAACAAAACACACCAGCATAAAGCTTTGAAAAACTAACTGAAACTAAAATTTAGAAGATAATTCCTGCATCACTTTAGCAGAGATTTTTTTGTCATCAAAGAACATTTTTACTGAGTAACATTAGTGACTTACTTAATTATACTCTGAGAATGAAAGATTTCATAATAAAGAATTAATTTAAGAGAATGGAAAGCATCCAGTCTCCTCTTATCCTAACTTCTGAACCCTAACATTGTTTACTTTACTGGCTCTTTACCTACTTCCTCAGGGTAGGCTGTCCTCAGGGCTCAGCTCTGTCCTAGGTTTTCTCCATAGATTTTTTTTTTTTTTTTTTGCCCCTTAGAGTGTATTCATTCTTAAATATTAACTCCATGCTAATGACTCCTGAATCTTATACACATTTGATGACAAAAAATTAACAGCCTGAAAAGATCATAAACACATATAAATCAATGAGAAAAATGAATAAATAGGAACAGAAATGTCAGACTATAACTGTTAATGAACTAACTAGTAATATAAAACATGCATGTTTAGGGGGCCTGAATGGCTCAGTGGGTTAAGTGGCTGCCTTTTGCTCAGGTTTTGATCCCAGGATCCTGGGATGGAGCACGGCATTGGATTCCCTGCTCAGTAGAGAGTCTGCTTCTCACTCTCCCTGCTCATGCTCACTCTCTCTTGCACATAATTTTTTTAAATGCATTTTTAAATGAGATATTTCCAGCTATCAAATTAGCACTTTTTTTTAAGGATAAAAATTCTGCTGAGTGTATTAAGAGGTAGGTATGCTTACACATTAAGTAAAAACTGATTCAGCCTTCGAGGAGAACAAACTGACAACGGTTTATAGACAGACTAAAGAAAGTTTCTATCTTTTAACTTGGTAATTCTACTTCTAGAATTTTATTGTAAAGAATAGTATAAAAAGAGGATAAAGGTTTATTATACAGAAATATATTCTCTGTAATGTTATAGCAAAACACAAGCAACCAAAAGCCCAGGGACGCCTGGGTAGCTCAGCGGTTGGGCGTCTGACTTTGGCTCACGGTATGATCCCGGATCCAGGATCGAGTCCCACATCGGGCTCCATGCATGAAGCCTGCTGCTCACTCTGCCTGTGTTTCTGCTTCTCTCTCTCTGTGTCTCTCATGAATAAATAAATAAAACCTTAAAAAAAAAAAAGCCCAAATTAGGAAGGTTTTAAGTAAATATTAATAATTCCAATAAAAATCATATTATAAAGCTGCCAAAAATTGTATTTCCTAAAGAATGACACTGAAAGATGTATTCATGCCACAATCATAACTAGAAAATATTAGAGTTAAATAAACCAAAAAAGCATAAACTACCATCCCAATTATATTCAATATAGACATTAATGAAAAGACTGGAAAGGCCATAACTTTAAGTGCCTATTTCCATTATGATGTTAACAAGATTGTAAGGGATTCTTATTTTCATAGATTCTTCTGTTTTTCTCTATTTTCCGTGCTTCCTATTCAGCATGGATTAACTGACAAACAAAAAAATCTTATTTAAAACAAAACATTCATCGTGGTGCCTAGGTGGCTCAGTCAGCTAAGTGCAAGACTCCTGATTTCAGCTCAGGTCATCTCAAGGTCCTGGGATTGAGGCCCAGGTCAAGCTCCACTCTTAGAGGGGAATCTACTTGAGGATTCTCTACCTCTGCTCTTCTGCTCATGCAAGCATATAATCTCTCAAACAAATAAATCTTAAAAAATAGTAAAACAAAACATTCATCAAGTACAAAATGAAACTTAACACCATGTTTACTTTAATCCTATTTATCTTTCCAACTTCCCTATTATGACCAAATTAAACACCACCAATCTCTAAGTTAAAATCGCTTCTTCAGTTTTGGGTTAATATTTGATCCCTTCCTCATTATTCCAGTATCTGCCACATAACTTTACTTAAAATGAAAAATACAGGAAAAAAGTGAAAAATACAGAGATAATCTTGAAAATTGGTCTCTGGGGCTATGTAGCTATATATATTGGAAAAACTATTTTGAAGCACTCTCTGGCTGACCTGTAGTTCCGGATATGTACATGAGCTTATATGCAAATACAGACACAGACACTTCTAACCAAAATTATGTACTTTAAAGTCCAAATCACTGAAAACATACTACTGATTGAGAATAGTCAGAAAAAAAACAGCTAAGCCATAGAAAAAAATGCTGGAGTTTCAGATTTAAAAAAATTTTAATTTGGGTTTAGATCACCACTATCTGCTTACTAACGTGACTTTGCACAAGTCACTTAATTTTCTTAAGCCTCAACTTCTGCACCTATAAAACAGGGCTGTTTACTTACTAGGGTGTTTTGAGGCTCAAATAATAAAGTTTCTCTGAAGGCACTATATAACCTATTAGAGCATCATTACATCTGCTTAGCTGACATGGGGATAAAACATTTAATAACTGAAAAATGGGAGATTTAAATAACTGCACTTTAAGAACAGATTTTATTTTTAAATATTTTATTTATTCATGAGAGACACACACAGAGAGAGAGAGAGAGAGAGAGGGAGACAGAGGCAGAGACAGAGACAGAGGCAGAGAGAGCAGCAGGCTCCATGCAGGGAGCCCGACGTGGGACTTGATCCTGGGACACCAGGATCACACCCTAGGCTGAAGGCAGACGCTCAACCACTGAGCCATCCAGGCGTTCCTTAAGAACAGATTTTAAAACTGCACTTTGTTAGCTGACTCTAACAAAGAGTCACTGCCATATTGTCATAAAGAACAGATTAGTGAGAGCTTCCTGAATTTCCACATAATTATTTTTATTATTTATATCCATATAAGACCATCAATTTTTCTGG